CTCCAGGGAAGTCCTCAGAGCTCTAGTCCCTTCACATTTCACTATTTCACTGCACATACATTCTCATTACCTCTCTCCTAACTGCCCTGCTTCTGAGGTTACAGCTCTCTCCCACCAACAACCTCTTCCTTATCCCAGTTTCTCTTCTAGGATTTCAGTGACCGCCTTCCCTAAAGCCACTGTCCTTTGGTCTGCAGTTCCAGAGATTTCTCTTGCGCCTGACAACAGCTCAGAGATTTAAAACCCTTCCTCCTCACCACAAAAAAAAAAAGAAGAAATGCAAAAACAATGCAACCCCCCACCCCTTATCTCCTCCTGCCAGGGCCTCTGGAGCAGATCTGGTCAAGCAGACCGGCCTGATCAGTTCCCTGCATGGCTCTGTTTCTGGGAAGTGGATGTGCTGTCCATTGGACAGAGGAAGTGCCAAGCCTTGGCAGGTTCTCTACTTATTTGCAAGACATAAGCTGCTGGTGTGGTGTCAGATGTGCATGCAAGAAAGCTGGATGCCAGTTAAGACCTACAGTCCTGTTTGTTTCATGCACTGTGAACTTATCCTATATACACTACAGGCTGGTTTATGCTTGAAGACATGAATATAAAGGTATACATTTTCCTTTTATGTTAGTAACCAAAGCTTTACTTTTACCTATGGAATAGCAGGGGTTTGCTACCAGGACTCTTATTTTCTTCTTTTGATCTCTCGTTCTCTCTTCAGTTCTTAATGCTCAAGGTGAAGGGGGGAATAAGAGGGGGACAGGTACAATTACAGTCCCAAGGTCCTAGTTCCTAAAGGTCCCTGAGTGACAGCACTATACAGTATCAGAAAATGAAGCAATAGGTTTGTGTTGGCCATGTATATACATCCTGAGAGAGATTTCAGTTCTATTTCTCCTCTTCCTTCTCCTCCTCCACACTTCTCTCAGAGGTTGTTACGCACACAGGAAAATTGGAAAACGTTCTCCCCCAGCCCAGCTCCCCCAGGCAGCCTGGAGATTCCCTCGTGCTCTTGCTACTGTCTTTGCCCAAAGCATGACCCAGTAAGAAGCAATACTGCAATCTCCGCAAAGAGACGCGGCTGTTTCAGAAGCAGCTTTGCGTCTGCACCACGGGAGCAGAAGCCAGCGGCTCTGCTGCGGAGCAGCTCTCCTTCCTCCTGCCTTCGCCACTCCTCTCCTTTCACGAAACCAAAGCAGACAGCAGCTGCCATGCAAGCTGCAGCATGGAAATCCACTCCACTTCTCCAATACTACCAACTTTGTCCCCACTGTATCAGAGGGTTGTGATCTCCTTTTCCTATGCTTATGATGGCTTGGAGTGTGTAAGCCTTGAGTTTGATTAAAGCTCCTACTTTTCTCCACCATTTCCTTTCTGGACCAGCAGACCCCAGAATGACACATTGCTTTGTCGTTCGTCTCTCTTAGGGGTAGACACAGGCTGTGATGGAGGGGGAAAATGGAGGTGCCACTTGAGTTCTGGAGGAGGGCATTTCTAAAGGCCTTCAGCAATTCTTCCCTCACCCGCATACAAAGACACGTTTTCTATTACTCAGCCAACTTACAGGACTCAGTTGTTTGTCAGCCTTCTGCCCTATCACCAAAAATTATAAGGCAGTCCTTGAACTGTGAAAAGTCCTGACCACACACTCTTTGGCAAAGATTATTGTGTAGGACCAAATAGTCCAGATGTCTGGATATACTAAGACTGACCCTATGAAATAAGCCTGACCTGGCAAGGACAGGTCAGAAACATTCAAAGAGAGAAACTAGGACAACTCCTGATAAGAAAGAGAACCCAGTCAATGGAGAACCTAGGAATAACAAAGGAGCCTGG